ATCATCATCACCATCAACATCATGATCATCATTAGTATTATTATTAATGCTCATGCTATTTTTTCAGGAGCATGATCTCCATGTTCGACGTATCCTTTTATAATTTACTCTRTTAAAGATAGTCAACACCCATGCATCAATAGGTCAACAACCCCCACCCTCCCCCTCTACACCTGTCGTGAAATTTTATTAATATTAATCTACTGGGGATAAAGCCGCAAAGGGATGGCAGCCATGTTGGTGTATACAAATTCCAATTCCATCTGTGAGWAAGACGTGAACGGGCTTTGATCAGCCTAGTGGTTGTTTCAGATTCCAAAGCCGAAGTTTTTCAATAACTTCTTACGGCTAATATAGCTATTCACCAATAGCAACATGGTGGCCATGACGTCACGCGATACCAAGAACAGACTCAAGGGATTTCTATAGCGATATTCACTGAATACGTTTTACCTTGGGCGCAATGTTTTCCCATTGCAGACCACGTGTACTTCCCTAGAGTATCATTTCTTTGTTCAAGATGAATATGGATACTACTCAAGCAAAGCATCTTATTCTCGAGAGAATGACACGTGGTCTGAAATGGCAAAAACATTACGCCCAAGGTAAAGAAGTCTATTCCAAGCGGAACGAGTTCGTGACCAGACTTGGTTAAACAATGAATATAAAATGAACTTGTTTGGCTGACTTAACTCAGATTTCTAGACGGATCGATCTGGTGCCCTGGGTTATAACGAATTTCGTGCTTTAAGAATACTTTTGTTCAAATGGGAGGTAACTATATCCAAGAATCTTTCGTTTTATCAATCTAGAATATTTTGAGATGGACCTACTGCTCACTCACTCTTTCCACGTGCCGTTCCCTTGAATCTAATCGACATTTATTTATCTCCTCAAGCGGTACGTACCGATCGGTGACATAACACATAATACTCGAGGGAATAGACTTGGAGGGGATGTCTGTACTTAATAAATTTATTCTATAAAAAAAATGGCATTTTTTCAAGAATTCTAAATATCTACAGAAACAGTTTCATACGTATGACAGAGATGACAGCGGAGATATGAATTTCTTTGAGCTTCGTAACGCTTTGAAAGGCCTTGGTGAGTTTCTTTGACTTTCTATCCTTTTGTATTTTCCATTTTTGTGGAATCTGGCCTGCGTTTCTTCTGGTCACTTTCCTCCTGTGCTGCTGACCAATTGCAAGCTCAAAGGAAAAAAAGGCGTTTTCCCGCCAATTTCCCGCGCATGCGCAGAACATTTTAAACCAGTGCCCAATATTTCTTTTTTAGGGTATCAGTTGAGCAACGCAGCTCTCAGTTCTGTAGTTCTTCGCTACCACAACAAGAAGGGAACGATCTCGTTCGACACCTTCATACAAATAGTAGTACGAGTAATTGTTATGTTTGGTAAGGAATAATATCTTTTAATATCAAGTATGCATTGTTTACTCTTTCTCCCTTTTGGCAAATATTGATTGTTCCAAAAAAAAATGTATCATTGAAATTAACTTCACTGGATAGTCTGTATGTAACATAGATTATAAGTTTTAGTACCCAATTCAAGACTTGAATATAGAGTTTCGCGCGCTGTGATAGGTCTAGTGACCAGTTATTATGAGACGATATTCATTGACATCTGWGCGGAAGTAAAATCGCCAAAGCGGAAGCAATAACGATGTTTTTCAGTATCCTGAATTTCGTCCTTTCTCCAATATTCAAGTTTAAAATTAGCCTTAGACTATTCGTTGATAATCACTGACTGATCATKAGCTTGATGCATTTACATATTTGGTTTCATTACAGACACGTTTCAAAAGAACAGCACAGATTCCAGGTCCCCCAAGAAAGCAACTTTCACATTGGATCAGGTAAATCGGGATACTCCCAATTTACATTATTTTGATCGTCCACTTTGGCCTCCCCTTCCCTCTCGTCCCCAGTTCCCTCATCCTCCTCCGCGACCAGAAAGAATCAAGACGCTGCTGAACCAATGGCGGCGCTTAATTAATCTAGTGCCTATCATTTTATAACGCTATACCTTCAAGGTCCAATTAACTGAACGAAATTTTCTCGCACCTACATTTTCKCAAAGTCGTACAAAACCTTTTCTAAAAAAATTCGCGTTCACTTATTTTGTTTGCACTATATATCAACTTGATAGTAATACCTTTGTCTCTGACTTAAAATGGTATTAACTAAATACTACTCTAAATGTATAACTTTTTATAAACTTTTTTCTCATTTAGTTTATCGATGCAACACTGACAGTATGACGTAGTGTTCACGTGATACCTGCATGGATCGGTCGCTATAGCAACAAGAATAGGTCCGGGATGGAAAATATGACAGATAACAGAAGATGACAAGTTCTATGTAAATCAAGTGTTGGTTATTTTTGGGAAATATGCATTTCAATTAATCTGTGATTTAAAGGATTTTGTTATATCTGTGAAATCTTTTTGGTTGAGAATTTATTGAATTATTGGTACTCAATGGTTTAAGAATTATTATTTTAAAATATTTTTTTACTAGTAATACTTTTTCTTTTGTTATTTAAAAAACAATTTATCACTATTGTTATTCTTATAATTTTTATTACCATGTGTTCAAAAATCTAAAATACCTTTAAGATATTTTGAATGCAAAAAAGAATCAATAAGTAAAAATGGGAAATGAAATTTGGAAAATGATAATTAAACRGGAATGGGATCTAATCATTTTTTCTTCAC